CTGAGTGAATCGATTTTGACGAGTCTTTTTTATTTGAAAAGTGGTACTTTCCATGAGCTCCCATATTAATTTCATTGGTATTGGATTTTGAGTTCCAGAGACATTTAGGGAACTCCTGAAAATCAATTACAAAATGAATACAGAGCGAGATATTTAAAGTCGGTTTTGTTTTTCGTTAGTAAAAATATGGACTTGTAATGTTACAATATATGTGTATATAGTGCCATTTATCTAAAATTACCATTTACTTAGAGCCAAAATAGAATTATTGAGTACTGTTAGTTATAGAATGTGAAACTATTTATTGGAATTAATTAAATTGCGAAGCGTATTCGCTGAAGTTGAATTAATTGTAATATTCCATAACTTTACAGTATTGACGATGATTACGTAAAGTAGAAATGAAACTATTCTTATCCGTGATTATAAAATTGAATATACGAAATACAATACTTATTTAGTGATCAAGTGCAAAAAAATTTATATAATTAGCCGGAATCGTGCTTGAAACTTTAAGGTCATCCTGCTATATTCAAGTATGGGGTGCTTGCTCATTCTATAATTATTTTGTAGGGAAGTAACAAGCAAAACACAAAGATCACGACATGTAACTCTCTCCACATACTTGACTGTAATTCGTACAAAAATCATATTCCGTTCGAGGAAGGCGAGGAATTAATCTAGCACCCGAGAGCACCGGGCCCCATTACGCGATCAAAGCAAAATTATACGGAAAAGAAACCAAACATATGCCCCCGCAAATATTTGGACCAGCGACCGTGCCCGCGCCTAGCTACCTCGCCCCCGCATTACGTCACATTGTTTCGCCGATCGATTAGCCGGGGTGACGTCTCGACGGCTTCAGCGAGGGCCGCCGTTGCCCCCGCGACCGGGAACGCTCCCGCTGCCGCTTGTGACTGGTTCGCTCCGATTACGGCGGCGTTGCGTCACTCTTTGTTTCAACTCCAGACTCATTTTTGGCGCTCGTTACGCCACCCGGCGTAATGGTTGCGAGGGCGACACGGATACGATTTTAGATCTTTTCTTTAATAACAGAAAATCTTCTCATAGTATACACCAACAATCTGAACTAAATACTTTCATTCCGCGAGTTGTATTTTAATTTCTTTGAATTAAAAGATGCATTCGATTTTTCTGTCGATTATGCTTCATTTTTTCGAAACAGTAAAAAAGCATTTCGTAAATATATGAAGTCTGCCAATCCGCAGTGCGATCGCATAGTGGACTATGCCATAATAATCTCAGTACAGAAGAGCCCTTTGCCCAGCAGTAAGATATACATAGGCTCTTACTCTTTTTTATATTCATCCATTAAAAGAAGTAACAACACAGTTTTACGTAATTGTATGCCATTACCGTAGACCACGGAAATTGTAACACGCGCAGGGTTGTAGATGCATTGCAGACTTTTGAGAAAACAAGTTCCAGAAAAGTTAATAAGTTATATCGATAATTTAAAAATAGTATCATACATACTTAATAATTCAAATGCTAGCACTGTTGTTTTATTATTTGTACGGAGTTGTATAAAAAAAAATCATAGCAAATTTTAGCACCGTGAGAACTACTCACCGTGCGCTCAGAATTGTGAAATGGTTCCGACAAAAAATACACTCCAATCGCCAGCCCCGGGGTACATAATTGTGATTGAACTAACCTGTCAGTCCCATGTTAAGTGGTTGAGATGGAACCTCGAGGCCATTGTCCGTGAGACCAGTAGCATGTTTTCTAGGTAAACGTTTGATTTTGTACACCTTCGTATGTATTGATGTAGCCCCGAGGATGATGTCGGTGTGTGTTTTGGTTGAGATTTTGGGTAATGTTTTTGTTACTATCACAACTCACTTTGAGGGCGATGGTTTATCGTATTTTGTATTCTATAGCACACTAGATGAGTTGAGGCTCTTATGTTTGATGAACGATAAGATAACGGTACTACAATAGTATTTTTCATTAATAACGTAAGTGGTAATCTATAAACCAATGCTTTTCAGTATACGTTGCACAAAAAAACTCCAGGTAGTAAACGTATTTACTTCAGATATTTGGGGAGTAAACGTGTATACCTCATACATCTTAGCGAGGTCCCCTATAAGGATTAATCGAAAACAATTCTTTCACACAAGTAAAGTTCAGTCATTTAACACAATCGCGAGTTCGAAATCGTTGCAAAACGCACGCAAATCACCAAAGTCGCGAAAGAAACGTGCACAATCGATCCAGCATCGGCACACGGAGCGGCGGCACTCTCAATTTCTGTTCGCAAGTCGCATCCAAACGTTTCAATCGGGCATACATGGCCCATTGTCCGCGCTCACAATGGCGGCGCGCCCGGCCCTGCGTGCCATTCAGCCGCCACAAAAGTCTGTTTCGCTAAACTCCTTGTGTGCTGTAACATTGACCTATTGAGCCAACAGGTGAATCTAGCAGCGTTTGTTTGGGTGTCTCCTCTGAATTAACGCGCTTTGCGACCCGCGCCGCACTAGCTCTGCGCCGCTTGCGTGGATGGCGTTTCAACATCGCATTTGGCTACATAAAAAGAGCTCTTATATTTCATATTTGAAGCTGTAATCGTTAATAGGGAAGTTAGTGCGATAGCAATATTCGGTAGCTCCTTATGCCGCAACAAAATCTGGAAATTTGGAACGGACAAAGCTTAATGCCGAGTTGACACAAAGGAACATTGTTAGAAAATTGATTTATTTTATATTTATTTTATTTAATTTAGTCATTAAATAATTTAAAAATTAATCACGTGTATGTGGCGATGACGCGGCTTTGGTTACAGGATGAAAGGTGTTATTATGTTCTGTTTAAACTTAATGAACATCAAGCCATTCTAAATTTACTGAAGCCATTCTAAGTTTGGTTTTAGACATAGTTAATCCATCATTATCTTAATTAAATTTGTTTGTTTCTCTTCTTCTGATGAAAATGACACTGTTTATCTGATTATTTTTATTCTTACCCTTAAAACTGAAAAGCACAAATCAGTTCAGCATCAATAGTCAAGCCAAGCTTCACTTTCACTTTTTACATGACATTAGTACATAACATTTTATAGTATTTACTATGTACTATACAAACCAATAAGAGGTACAACGCGAACTAACATAAGAGACATGTTGAATTATCATGAAATTTTCATCTAATAATCATGTATCATGTTTCGATGTATAAACAACAATATACAACACAAACATAACATTAAAATATAAATTAACGGCGGCGCGAATGTGAAAACTAAATTCGAATAATACGAGCAAACGCAACACAGCTACATAAATTCCCCACAGACGTGCATTACCTATTAATTAATCGCTCCACGCTAATTATACAATACAAGTGCCAACACGAACGGTCAATAGCACAAAGGGCTATCGGTGTACTATATCCGAAATATTATATGCCACGACGCATTCGCCGTATTGATCGCACAGCGCCCATCGTATTGCACGCACGTAGGCGATCTTGAGCGCGCGTAGGTATTCAAGACATTGATCTTGGTGCACAATGCTTTGTCCTGGTCAGTGACTGGTGAATGGCCGATCTGAATGGAAACTCGCATGTATACAACAAACTGTAGTTCTGTGACAAAATTAGCTACTGCGATATTGAGATACATTTCATGATCTTTACTTGCGAACATTCATTTAAAGTTCAATCTAGCCATTTGCATTGAATCTTATTTATGTATATATGAGTTAGTATATTATGTATATAGTTAGTACTAAGATTCTTTTATTTTTGATTTTGTTTTCTTAGCGAATATCATTTATAAAATTGCGCTATTGTAGTTTATTGTTAGGGTTCCGTACCCAAAGCTGTCTGTCTGTATGTCTGTATGTTCGTCGTAAGTCTGTCGAAGTCTGTCGTAAGTCTGTCGTATGTCTGTCTGTAAGCTGTATCTCATGAACTTGTGATAATTAGATGGTAGAAATTTTCTTGTATATTGATGTATTTCTGTTGCCGCTAACAACAAATACTAAAAAACAGAATAAAGAAATATTTAAGTGGTGTCCCATACAACAGACATGATTTTTTTGCCGTTTTAATAGATAATGGTACGGAAGACTTCGTGCGCGAGTCCGACTCGCACTTGGCCGTTTTTTTTATTTCACCTAATAAAGTGGTTTAACTAAAAACTTTAAATAAAACCTATGAATTATGTACACAACGAATATCATTTTCTCAACTCGTTTATTTTGTGTGAGCATTTAACTTAATGAGAGCGACAAGTATTGTAATACATTTAGATTACACAATAGCAAAACACGTACTATAACCGTTCCAAAAGATGACGGCTTCACAATAACATTGTAAATTTTGTAATTTCAAAGAAATAAACGGAGCTTTATATATTTCCGCGGTGCATTTACGGAGCCAGCTATTAGGAGCATCATTGCACCCCAGGGGCTCGTCAACAGCTAGTCATTTTAATTTATATCCAGAGTCGTCGGGCTATATTCATAATCGCGGGGCTTTTCCGGGGCGCGGGGTGCTCGCTTCCCGAGATGGCGCGGAATCTCGACAGTTTCGACGTTTGTACCTGCTCATTGTGCCCGCTGGAAATGGGGCTTCAACAGTTTTGATACTTTGCGTTAATTAATTTTAATGATGCTTTAAACGTTGTCTTCTTAGACTTGCTCTGCGAAGTCGTAGTTTTATATTAAGAGATTTTTCTTATGAAAACTTAATAAATGCGACAATGCCTGAATGAATGTACGGTCGGTTACAGAATCAAGCTATTGTTCTAACCGATTCGATCGCCGTGATCGGATCATTGATTTGAAAAATGTAAAAACTTTGCCTTAAAGAATCGATTACTTATTTAATATCGGGACTGTTTCTGGTAGAGCATTTGAATAGCAGATTACTTAACAGAAACTTAAAAACACTCTCGGCTTACCAGTTCTTTTCAAGCGCCCTTTCAAAAACTTCAAACTATAGTTTGATAAATAAAACTACAGTCTCCGCTCATGGACGTATCCGCGATAGCAACTGCTATTAGCAAAATGAACAATCAAATTGAAAACCCCGCTAACTCGCAGCGGGCCGAAACGCGAAAAGCTCACATAATGCGGGGAGGTAGCTGAAAATTTCGCGGGGAAAAAGAAAAACCACACTAAACTGTCATTATTTAAAAAACTCGAATGCAAAGATATCTCGGTCACGGTATCTGCCCCCCGTTCGGGTGCAGCGAAAAATAAGCCCATTCCGTAACAAGCTAAACGGGTAATGGCACCCGTTATTATAATAATAACCCGCACCATATTGTAGTGCCGAAAAAATTTCCACGTGCCGACGGCAACTCTATCTCCGCCCGCTTTTCAGCCGCATACGAACCATACCTGGCACATTGTTAATGACGTTCAAAGTTTTTAATAAACGATGTGAAAAACTATGTCTTGTCCCAGTTTCGTGTTACGTTCGCATTGATGAATAGCTTCGCTTTTCGCTCCGCAATATTTCAATGAGACTACCCGACTCTGAATAGTGGACTGAACTTAGGTTTGAAAACTGCTGTGGCGTTGTTTTTGATAAATTTGTTTTAATACTTTTCATATCGAGCAATGCTTTTTGTGTATGAGGACGATTACCTCAGCTATAATAATGGTATTAAAATTATTTTTAACAAAACGTACGTTTGCCGGAGTGAAGTCCATGTTTCTATATATCTGTTTCAAAATATACATATAGATTTAACAACTAACATAATTAACATATTATTGTATTTGTGTACTTGTTCTAAGAATGACGTCGATACAAATACAAAAATAAAAACAATCAAAATCATTTATTCATTGATATAAGAAACATACATTTCATCTAACGATAGTATTTTTTTAATGTATCACCGTTCCGTAATGAGCTTTCACTAAAGAAACAGACGAAAAAACTCCGTAGGTTTCGAATTTTTTGTAATTTTCTTTCTCTCAACACACAAAAATGTTATACAATATTTTTTCTCTTTTAGAAATAGCTTGAGAGCGATCAATTCATTCTCAGAGTCAGTTATGTATTACCTAATTTATATTATAATACTTAATCCTTTTTATAAAGTTTTTCTTTAATAAATTTCTTAAACCCTGTTTTTACGCAGGCATTTACTGGGATTTTTTGTAGAAGCATATATACCGTCCCATGAACGAGTAACTTACCTAAGGAGTCTAGTAACAGGCGAGTCATATTAACGGCGCAAACGGGGCAAATATTTTGCAATGACTCTTTGGCGGCAATGAACTTTAAAGAATATAAAATAAAACACTCAACCACCACAATCACGAACCGTCGTGTCGGCCCGAAGGTCCATCAAACAAGCGTGCGCGATCAAAGTATTCAGACGGATTAAGAATAATTAGTCAATTTGTCATTTTAATGTCACATGCCATCACGTACCCCGGCCGAGCGACGGCGTGAAGAAATAAAAATGCATAAATGTTTAATCCAAGCTAAGTGTATCGTAAAAACTACAAGTCGGCATAACTCATGCGCCTCTGCCTTTGTGCACTTTAAAAAATAAAAAGGGCCGATTTTAAAAAAAAGGAACATTAGTTTGCGCGACGGATCAGTCATCCGCGTGTCTCGGCGAACAACACGTCTCTACACATTGGACGAGTACTTTACCGCATTTATTTAGCTCTCGACGTGCGAGCTAATGACGGCATGATCGGATCCTTTAACTTTCATGTCACTGTGAAACGCTGCGAATTAAAATTTTCATACAACCCATAAGCATAGTTAGATATTAAAAAATACACTTTCGGATTATACAAACAATAAATCCCAAATTAACTTATCATATTGAATCAAAGTTATTTTAAGAATACAACAAACATGTTGTATCTGCAATCGAAAATTTAGTTGTCACTTTATAATTCGACACATACTTTTCACTCGAACATTTTTCCTATCAACACTCAAACTAGTGTGGATACGAGTCAATTACTCAACTTTAACCACGACCGGCTAGAAGGTTCCACTGTCCTCGGCTCTTTTTTACGCAAACATTTCATGTCGAAAGCCGTCGGCGCGGCAACCACCCACGGGCGGCGGTCGTCAGTCAGCCATTCGTCCAACTCCTCATGATTAATACCGACTCTCGACTCATTAGCTGAAGGGCTTAGGAACGCCGTCCCGAGGTACTTAATCACTCGAACAAAGCACTGCCTACTCGCGAGGAGCCGAAAGCATCGTTCTTCGTCAGGAATGTGTTTATATGGTACATGTGAGAGAAACTCGGCGGTTGAAAAAACAGTCAATCGTTTTTTTTTCTGCTTCATTCAGAAATGTTTGCTTTGGTTCAAAGCAGGTTTTGTAATGTAACGCAGTTCTCAATGTAAGTCTTGTGGTGTTTTGCAAACAGTTACTTGAATTAGTAGGTACCGGCTTTATATAAAAGCCAATGGACTATTTGAATATTACGTGGCAAAATTTATAAAATAGCGTTTATTTGTCAAACGTTCAAAGACTTTCTATTTATTTGCAAATTTATATTATTATTAAGCAAAATATTTATCCAAAACATTAAAAATAACAATTAGGTTCCCATTGAGAGAAATAATTTTATAATATGCTTAGTAAATATCGTAGATGAATATTATAATTTTAAAATTTCATGAAATCGCGAGTCACTGTTTTATAACAAAAGAATGAATATACAGGGAGATTTTTTGACCAGTGCCCAAATTTACACAGGAGGTTCAGACTCGGTAATATAAAAAGAGTAAGAGAGAAAAGCTAGCACCAGAGGAAAAGGCTCACTGCGGAAGGGTGTGTGAAACAAAGAGACAAAGAGAGAGAAGCTAGCGTCAGAGGGAAGGGCTCATTGCGGAAGAGAATATGAAAGAAAGAGAGGAAGAGAGAGAAGATAGCGTCAGGTGTTTAGTTTATTATAGCGTTAGGTTTATTGAAATAAAAAACAAAGTTCTTTTTCCAAAATAATGCCATTCTATTCCCTAAAAAACAGAACGTATTGATAATGCGGTAGTCATTCATAAATACCTAAATTTTACTGTGCACGAACTTGTGTGCGTGTTAGTTATGAATGATCGCGCGTAAAATAAATGAGATGCGTATAAATCACGCACTTTTTGAGATAAGTTCAAATGAATGTAATTAATTACTTACGAGTGATTTTAAATATTTGTCATTTTTTATATAATATTATTTAGTTCTAAAATTTAATAAAAAAAATGGATACACTTAAAAAAGCCACCCTATATTGCTTTATACATTCAAAAGTTACATTCAGGCCTTTATTCTACCCATTCTTATCACCTACAAAACAATTAAACATCGCATAGGTCTAGGTCTTTATGATGAAAAGAAAACACTAGACAATCTGATAAATGCCACATGTATAGTAATGAAGCAGTAATAATAAAGAATAATTAAAAACATAGAACAGAAGTCGCGTTTCCGTAATCAGAGCGAAAACTACACTTGATAACGAAGTAAATAGATACATCCAAAACAAAACGGCAACAATGCCACGCGGAACGAGATTTGAAATTCCCAGCGAACTTACACGTCCGCAACAACGTCGGGCCGTTTAATTACCATAATTAATTAGATCCCGCGGCGCAGACGTGAGACGCGAGCAGAATGGAGGATTGATGTGTGTAACGTATCGAAGCCATTAGGCCGCCGAGGTGACGAGTATCGCGCCGGTGTATTTTTTTAAAAGCCCGCCATTAGCAGGAAGTGAGTCTTTTTGTGTCCATCGGGGTACACCGCTATCATACCGAGCGCGATCAATCATCCTAACGCGCGCATCTACTCGAAAGCCGCGGCGCGTTCGTTTTCGGGTTTTGTTCTTGGACCGTTACGAATCGCCCGTACGGTTGGCAACACTTCCAATCCCGCATCCCCCCGCTCGCGCCGCGCCGGGAGGCTTTAATTTTGATCATCGAAAAAGCTACGTGGCGATTTTCGATTCCCATCCGGCTTACGTTCGGATGAAGTGCGGTTTTTTTTTAATTTTACCACGAGCAAAATCGCTTTGCCACGTTGTTTTAATTGGAAATATATATTTGTTGATAAGTTAAAAAAATATCAATCGGATGTCGTCCATAAGACACATTAATTAGTAGGTTTCATTTTTATTTCACTTGGGTGAACAAATTGGGCGTTTCCTGAATTATATATATTATATATGATATTACTTTCCGGTGAAGTTTATGTTTGAGAAGTGAAACCTCCCACGTCGTAAGTATTATTGAAGTGAAAACTTCTTTTGGCACGTTGGCACTTTTGGGACGGGGCAAAAGCAATGAACATGCGAGTTCATAACCATCATGGTTAATATAATTTAAATTAAATTGATTAAATTTGCTAAAATTGTTAATTTTTCATAAATTTGATTGTATGTATCTATATAACATACTAATCATTCCTTTCAAACATAAATTTTTCATAAAAAATATTTCCAATAAAAATAAATAAGCAGTCATTGAGACTCCCGACAAAAGTGTAAACTTATAACTGGAATAACTGTGTAGAGTTGGTATTTTCTATGTTTTATTCTTTTGGAGAAGAAAAAGTTAAGAGAGTAAAATTTCTACGATGCGCGCGCACACCAACAGCGAAGTGATGAAATTGGCCGCAGAGCGACCAACTTCCCCGTGGTTGGTCGTGCCAACCAAGGGCATTTACCTATAATTCCAAATTATTTAATTGAACCGTTACCAATTACCTTTAATTTCTTTTTATCAAACAAAGAATACTGGCTCAGGGGATGAAATTTTAGGTTTTTTCTTTTGATTCGCTAAATATACATCTTTATAGTTTTACTTAACTTCTAAGGTGCGTACATAAGTACACATATTTTTTTATCTATTATATTATGTATCTTATGAAAATAATCTATATATCTAACTTAAATGAAACCTGTTTTATTTTTCTTTTTTCACTTCAAAACACCTTTTTCTAATAGACAAAAAAAATTTCTTTTTTATTAGCTAACGCGTCCCTACTAGCTCCCGACGCTTCAGTATTAAATACGCACCATCTACTTCAAGTTAATTGTGATATGCCGTCACGCTAGTCAACGCAATAAGTTCACGAAGTGTAATAAGTATGACAGCAAATAAGGAGAAACGAATGAACGATGATTTTAATATAAAACATTGACTCTCTCAATGTTATAAAAAAAGACTGCAAAGTATCAACAACAGAACGGTCCTAAAAACTCGCAGTGTAATTCGCAACTCATCCGAGGAAGGCACGCAGCTCGATCAGCAAACTATCGTCTCCCACATAGTCATTAGGCGAGTCAGACTCGCCCCAGCAGGAGGAACTGCAGCAGCTACCGCTACGGGCAATCAATAGGCAATTAGCGACCGCGGGCGGTGGCCGCCGAGTGTTCTTGAGGGCGCGCGTGCCGCCGCCCGCCCTACGCACGCACTAATTGTATGGCCCGCTCTTATCGCTTATTAGAACCTATCGCCCGGTTTTGCGCGCTCATTTTATAAAGTTCACCGAGCTGGTACGCCTGCCTATACTAGCCTATACCGAACTAAGGCGTTTACCACCTACGTACAACTGAACGTGGTAATCGCAGTATCGGCAAAAACCAGTCGTATTTTACTGTTTACTTACTACGGCTACTACGACTTTTACCGAGCCGATTAGCTCACCATCTGCGATATTTTCAGCATCACCATCAACGAAATATATGGAGCTAATGTCGGACAGATTTTAGCAGACCATGCGATGGAACCGTAGTCAATCACGGGCAAGTCACTTGGCTACCGTCGCTTTTGGTTACTATCGAGTAGAAATTTACCATATACGATTAACTCTCAGTGGACATAGTAGAAGCCCAACGAAAAAGTGATTCGCGGTGTTCGCGTGATCTGCCATTAAATCGAATGACTCGATAAGTTTAAGGTCTCTCAAATAAGTTTTGCCGATTTCATATTTAATCTATCTAGTTATTGAGATTAGTTATTTGGGCCATTGAAACGGTGGCGGGCATAACAATGTTACTTTTACCTAATTCACATTCAAATATCTTTATTCAATACAGAAGCATTACACTTATTTATTGATTGTCTAAAAATACTACTACATGTTCGGAAATAAAGCCACCTGAGATGAACCGGCGAAAGAAACTCGGCGGGACAATTTTTTTTTAAATATAATTTGACAAATATAACAAACATGTATAAAATATATTCAATTCCACTTGAAATAACCTGGAGCGATCAATTCATTTCCAGAGTGTGTTATCATTTAAATAATCACTAATACTCGTACTATAATAGCCTCTAAGACACAAACGGTCCTTTACATTTTTTTTTGAATTTACCAACTGATTCATAATAGCTTCTTTTGAGAAATGTATTCAGACAAGTCGTAAATTCTGCCATTCCAAATATTGTCATTTTTAAATTTAATATATAAGGCTACGTTCGAAACTTAGCAGAAAACGTATCGGCTTTCATATTGACAAAAGCTTTTAGTGCAAACAAATAGTTCGGCTAATGAAAACGAGGAGAAATGAAAAAAGAAAAAGCCGCCCGCCACTGAAATGATTAATCGTACGAAGAATAATGGTCGAGGTGACGCGAGTCATGTTCAAGGCACGGCGTGATACGAAACCTTTAAAGCGAACTATGTTTGCTCGACACAAGATTACTCGTAAAAGTGATTACGCCCTCATGCATAGTGCTATATTTAATTGTATTAAATACTGCAGAAATGTTAAAAATTATGATCTTTACATTTTCTTTGCCAAGCAGCTGCAGATTTTTTTTATGTGAAATTTGCCAAACGAGCAGACGATTCACCAATGGTAAGTGAATACGCCGCCCATGGACATCTGCTACATCCGAGGGTTACAGATGCGCTGACAACCTTTTGAAAATTGGGCTCCGGCTACCTCACTCACCAGACGAAACGCGAAAGTATTTGTCATACTTCAAGTTAGTTTGCAGTTGTTAATGTCATAGAAAAGCAGCATTTTTTTTAATTTGTGAGACGATGACAAACGATCTGGCGGTTCACCTAAATAAATAGATAAATAAATAAATATTTTAGGACACATTCTTACACAACATTTTTTAGTCCCAAACTAAGCAACGCTTGTACTATGGGTACTAGAAAACATACTTAAACATACTTTTCTTTTGTAAATAAATACATATTATAGATATATAAACACCCAGACACTAGAAAAAAACTATGTTCATCACACAATATTTTTCCAGTAGTGGGGATCGAACCCACACCCTCTGGCGCAGGAGGCAGGTACACTAACCACTACGCCATTCAGGTCGTCAAACCTAATGTTACGTGATGAACGCCGTCCAATGGACATTAGCAACACTCGTAGAGTTGCCAATGCGTTGGCACCTTTTAATAAAGTGGACTCACTAGACGAAACGCAGAAGTATAACACTTCCACTTCACGCCGGTCTTCTGTGAGGTCATGGTACTTAACCTACGGACCTGTCTATTCGTGCAACAGCCATAACTGTTGCGTGGCCATGACAGTAAAATGTTAAAAATAATCTATAATGTTTAGCCACTACACTCCTGAGCTATATCAAAAATTAAACTTTAGAAACTGCACATAAAAAACTTTTCAATGAAAGCCACAATGTATTCGACACTTATATTTGGTAGCATTTGTGTTTAATTTCTGTAAATTTTCCTCCAACGTCAATAAACTTTTGTTCGTTGAAATATTTAATTAAAATTTACTGCTCATTATTAGTGCACATCAACAAACAAATTCAATTCAATTCAAACGCATTAAGTTGATCGATTTAGTAGTTCATCCATATTTTCCAACAATAATTTGTTAGGAAATGTATATAAATATAAAGAACAAAAATTGTTCAATCTAATAAAAGAGTGAGAAACACACATAACTTTGATTTTTTATTATTTCAACAAATATGAATCTGGATGACCCCTCATTGCTTTGAATTAATCGTCGATTTAACGTGGAATGTATTTGTTTAGGGTTCTGGGACTTATGCCGTAAGGCTTGATGTGTCAATTGAAATATTAATGCTGACTAGGAATATGCACATTCGTGATTTATTACAGTTTATTATTATTATTATTCGTTGATCTTAGCAAACCAAATATAACAAAATTTTAGTAGTTAGATCAGAGTACGTGAAAAAGTAAAGTGAACACCAGCATTAAATTTTTTTTAGAATAAGTAAGCTTTCAATATAACCAATAACAAATTATTCCTTTCAGAGCTTTATTCCATAATCTAAAATTAAGAAATCTTAGAAAATTAACGAGTCATGTTTTCGTTAATAAACCTTTTATATATCAGAAATAACGTAGTACAATAATAAAACGCTCAAATTGCCATAAATAAATCAATGGTGAAAACATAACTCTAAGAAATCAGTAAAGTATATAGTCTAATAGTCTGTCGCCCCAAAATAACAGCAAGACTGACGTAAAGTAAAACATACACAAAAGAAAATTCAATGCATCATCCTCATCGTCACTTCAGCGTGTTCGAGTCCGCTGAACAAAGGCGTCAACTTATCTCAGCAAAAACTGTTTTAACTGATCATCATATCGACCACTCGCAATACAAGACACGCATTTCTTGTATTCTTGTATTAACTGATGTTTTTGCTTTCAGTCCCGAAACTATTAAAGCTTCATCTGACGCAGAACCGGCGGGCTAGCAGGAACCCACGGGTTTGGGTCCACGGCAATGGTTCTAGCAACGCCTCGCGGGCTTTCGTGCGTCTCCGTCTGCCTGCAGTACGCATTGCGACCCCGGCGGAGGGCGTTCCGGAAACGTATTACTCGCCAGCGGTGGCCGGAAATCGGCAATATATTGCGAGTGCCACCGGCCGTCGCCCGACGACCCAGCCAACCGGCGCGTAAATAACCGCCCCGATAAGGGACTCCAGTTTATGTCTCCTCGACGCCGTGAATACACCGGACTGATTTGAATATATCGGAAGCGTGAAAAACTGCTTTGGCAATCTCGAAAAGCTGCGTACATCGATAAACACTAGGTTTCGCCCACCGATCGAATTTCGATCATAATCATTTTTGAATTTTTTTGTATTAATTCAATTATTTTAATATAGAAGATTTTTTATTAAACAAAAAAGTAACTGAACAGTTTTTATCTTGGATTATTTTTAATTTGGATTTATTGTTAATTATAAAATTTTTCACTTCCAACCAACGTAAATAAAAAAAATAACTTTTTCCCCTATTGGATTGAACACCTATGTTGAGGATGATGCGCCAACATTCATAGTCTCTTGACCCCATAGATCAAGGACCTCCAGATCTAAACTACAATGTGTACTCTGCTATAATATGTACGGTATCATTAGGCGGGGCCAGCGATGGACCGCGACATTTATTTTACGGCATCCGGCTATAAAAGTGATCCACTGCCTGCATTCTGCAGCGTTGCTCGCTGCCCGGCGTTATTCGGATATAGTTATCCCTAGAACTGCTACAAATGGATTTATGTTAACTAAAAAATACGATCTAATACAGTATAATTTGGTGTAAAGTGCCATCTCACTAAAACTGGAAGACCTGATTCAAATGATTAAGCTTAGTCATTGTTTAAATTTAACAACACTGTTAAAACATGTATATCATATTCTAGGGCTGTACTAAACTATTCGAGACTATGATAAGAGAAAAAATTTAAAACGCCTAATTCAAATTGTAATCTATTTAAGTATAAAATACGGACGTAAACATTCTCACACCCTTCAAATGATATAAACGAAAAAGTACTAAACCAAACTATTCCTATGTCTTTTCCAGAAATATAAGGATCTCCGTTCATGATACGAAGTCCGTGTCCCCAAGGAAGTGATAAAGCTTTTTGGCTAAAAAAGCATTTGGATGGTGATGGCGCGGAAGCGGAGTGGAAATTTCTCACTATGGTCGAGATAATCTCGAGATGGTTGACTTATGAATACCTACACTGGGATTTGTTCCGCCGAGTGGAACGATAGCTTTTTACAGCCTAATAAAATGTGACAGCACCTTTTTCTCTAGAATACTTAAAATTAAACAAACATTTCTCTAAAGTTATGCCTTTTTAACATATAACAAGAAACCTTTGTAATTGTTACGGAATCAAGATTTTTGTTTCATGCGCATATAATCATATTTAGTGCTCAACTAGATTTACTTACTTGCCAGGGCGGTCCAAAATTATTGAGCTTACATTAACATGTTAAAACAGATAGATAAAATAAAACGTAGAGTAATTTATATTCTTACAGCAGCCAAAATGTTTGTTTTTAGTACATAAAGCAAGTCTCACAATTTGACCAATACTGTATTCAGTAGCATCAGCTAATTCTGTCACCTCGTTGTTCAAAACGTGGGCTTCTTGCTTTTTAAAAGAGCGATGGCATCTAAGCAAGTGTTTCACAA